GGGAGCTCCCTGGCCTGCGTGCTGGCCTTTGTCACACATGCCCAGCCCAGCCCCGGAGTAAGAGTAGCAGCAGCACTTTGAAGTCTGTTGTCTCCAGACACTAGACATGTCATTTACATATACCTGCACATATCCCTGCCCTGCAACCCAGCCTGAATATACTTGTCATTGTCAGTTTTCTGCTTTCTCTAAATAAAAACTAAATTACAGTGCTCCTTTCCAAAGTTACTTAAATGGCCTGTGAGTTGTGTACACATTTCCGAGTCTAGATATCTATCTATAGCTGAGTTCTGGTGGCTTAGAGGTAAGAAATCACGCTGCCAATGCAAAGGTGCACAGTTTAAATCCACTAGATGCTCCTGGGAAGAAAGCTGAGTATTAAATTCTCATGCAATTTACTGTCACTGAAATCCCACCAGAGGCTCAGTTGTGTGTTTATGGTACACAAGAACAACATGTCTATCTATACATACCTATCTCTCTACATAGTCGTTGTTGTGTTTTGTGCAGCCCAAGGCAGAATGGACTAAAAGTTGACCCTCCAGTGGGTTTTCAGAGGCAGTAAATCACACAAATCCCGCAGAGCAGCTCGTACTGTGCTGAAAGAGGGCTCTAATGGCTTAGTGGTAAGAGTTGCACTGCCATCCCAAACTTATGTGGTTCGAATCCACCCTCTGTTGCAAAGGGAAAAAGCTAAGCACTCTCCTCCCATCATTTATAACCTCTGAAGCCCACTGGAGGGTCAGCCATGTGTCAGTTCTGACTCAACACAACAACAGCAGCAACATTCTGTATTACTAGAGTGGTCATTTTCAGTACTGAACCAATTGTCAAGTTGACTCTAATCCATGAGGCATGGTGTGTGTTGGAGTGGACATGTGCTCCCCAGGGTTTGCAAGGGCTGATGTTTGTACAGTTAGTTGCCAGGCCTTTCCTCCAGGGGCCCTGTGGTATAGTTGAATTTCTAGCCTTTTGGTTAACAGCCAATTAGGTTAACTGTTTACATCCCCCAGGAGGACTCCTCATGATAAATAGGTTCCCCTTAAGTTAGAAATTCATCATTATTTTACTTCAGCTAAATTGTATTTTAGACATTCCTCCAGTATGCTGCTTGTATTTGTATATGAAACATTTTACCAAGTGTAAATGATGTAATTTTTACTATAATCTTGTTTAATAGCCTGAACAGTCCTATGAAGTAAGTCCTACCATTACTGCCAATTTCAGACAAACCCTGAGACTGAGAATAAAGTGCCTTATCTCCGACCTTGAACCTAGTGTTTATATTATTTCATTTCACTGCATTACAGCCACTTCCCAGAATCTTTAGTGATTATTTTTTAACGAGTGAGAATTGAACTATTGTCCATGTTAACTGTTCTTTCAAACACAGAGGTATTTGAAATAAGAAGGTATTTAATATGAAGGTGTTCTGACCACTCAGGCTCATGAACCTAAAGTTCCATTCAGACTCCTGCAACCACTGGGTGCCCCCCTATGGGCGTCATCAGGGCCTCAGACTTGGCTGGTCTCTTGTACATAGCATGAGGATAGATGATGTGAGGGCTTTTTCATGCTGAAGGCAGAAATGAGAACACGCAGGGACCTCCAGCTGTCTGCAGGCTGGAAGAGGGCAGGCTGGCTGAGTGTCAGGTATTGGGATGTAGTAGCAAGAGGAAGATCTAGGTAGCCAGGCAGGTGTGGTAAGGAGTAGATACTGTGGCATTAAATGTTGCTGTGCTTCTGTGTTCTTCTCTTCCCATTTTTCACCCAGGTGTCCCAATGGATCAGCCCTGTTGCCGAGCTCTGTACGACTTTGAACCTGAAAATGAAGGGGAATTGGGTTTCAAAGAAGGTGATATCATCACACTCACCAACCAAATTGATGAGAACTGGTACGAGGGGATGCTTCACGGCCAGTCAGGCTTCTTCCCCATCAATTATGTGGAAATCCTGGTCGCCCTGCCCCATTAGAATGTTCTGCTGGCTGGCTCGCCTCCTCTTGACCCAGATAGTTCCGTTTAACCACGGCTTTGGCAATGCTGCTTAAACACATCCCAAGTGCAGGCCACAGTGGATTGGGTCATCCAGCTCCGCTGAGTACCTGTGGGTGACGTGTGCATTCCCACAGGGTCATGGTGAAGGATAGTATCTTCGTACCTGGTGGGCATGGCATGTGCTTTTTAAACACCGTCTGAGACCAGCCAGTAGCCACAGAACTGCTGTTCACTCAGTTCTCAGGAGGCAGTGGCTTCTTAGAAAATAACC